CTAATTGGAACTGATAAAACCACTGCTCTGAGAGTGTAAAATAAAACTTCATTATTTCCAAATAAAATAATTGAAGTTAATATTTGAACAAGAGGCGAATGATTTACAATTAAAAAAACTTGTGATAACAAAAACAATGAAACAATGCTTCTAATTTTTCTGATTGATTCCTAAAAAAAAAAAATAATAAAAATAAATAAACTGTATATTTACTCGAGATGATGCAACAATTTAATAATTTAATAATATTATAACATTCATAACCGAAATAACCATATAAATTACCTGGCCAGGTAACACAGGTGTAGTGTTTTTAGTTAATGAGTTGATGTACAATGGAATAAGTAATTTGTTGAGCAGATGATCCGTTAAAACTTGATTTAAATCGCAAATATCAAGTGATAATATATCATTTAAATAATGCAAATGATCTAAATGCTCTGCAACTAGATCTGATAATCTGTTTTGATTTTGATGATTACAACTGAAATAAAATTGTTTTTATTAATTTAAATTATAAGTATACATTTTTAAAAACTTTTATAATAAAATATCTTACTCATCGTTGACAGGCAAACAAGAATCCAATTCGACAATGTGTTTACCGATAAACCAAGCAAGATTTGAATAGTATGGTGCTGCAGTTTTATCTCGAATAAACTGTAACATTGACCTGTCTTCCACTCTATAAACATTTAAAGTTAATGTGCGAACAGCTATTCTAACCATAGATTCGGGGTGATTAAAAAATTTTATTGCCTCTGTGTAAAGTGGAAAATCATTTGTATGCTTGAAAATTTTAACATAAAATTAATGTTTTTTTTTATTCGTTAACGAAAATAAAAAATCAAATAGTGTCAAATATTAATTTATACCTCATTATAAAAAAAATGAACTGTATGAGCATTTAATTTTAAAGATAGAGTTTTAAGAAATGATATGTAGTAAGCCATGACTTCCTCATCAGAAAAATCAAATTTATGTACAATAATAGAGTTGACATGATTGTTGCTCAATAAATAATCTGAAAAATTGTTAAATTTTAATAATATACAAATTTTTTGTAGAGTAATGTATAAAAAAATGTGTGATGTATTTATTATGTCAATTAATTAGCAATTATGTCAATAATTAAAGTTTTTAGCAAAATTTTTTTTAAAACTTAATAATAAGTTCACAACAAAAAAAATTATTGTATTTTACTTACATAATGAAGTTTCATCCCTGATATTTTCAAACAAAATATTAAGTGTTTGAAGTAATTGTACACATACATAGCTGCCACATTTTTGTCTCATGATTTTTAAAAAAAAGGATAACATATTTTTTTCTAGAAAAAAACTGAAAGAAATAATGTATTTTTTTTAGTTTCCTTAAAATGAAATTTAAACTTTATACAAATTGAATAACATACTCAAATACACTGCTGTCATTTTGATCACCCCAAATTAGAATTTCAGCGATTGATCTTAAAGTTTCAACCAATAAACTCCTGTTGTTTTCTGAAACTACTTGGTTTTTAGACAATACTTGATAAAGATATCTGAAATATTTTTTTTTATTCTCAATTAACATATGCAGAGTATTTTTAAAAATAGCTCAACTCAAATTTTTCTTTCCTTACAAGTGTTTAATTTACTGGGAAAAAACTTACTTTAAGTATTCTAAGGAATGTGGATTTTTTGGTTTCCAAAATACATTCCCAAACCAACTTTTACTTCTAAACATTGTAGATAAAGTAGGTGGGTCCATTCAACAATAAATAAATACTATTTAAAATTTGTTTCACTTTCAAATCTGAAAAATACATTTTTTTTTGAAATGTTAAAATAAACATAAGGGCTAATAAATAATATTTTATTATTTACCTTTTTTGCAAAGTTTTTACTTGAATCATGTATGTACTTTTATTTAACTAAAAAATAATAGAAATAACTACAACTAAATCATCACTTTAGTAATTTTATTTAACATTAGACTTTTTGTTTAACACCATTTTTTTTTTTTTTTTTTCACTTTTAATCTGAATGATAAAAAAAAACTAAATTTTAATAATTGAATCTACCTTTATAATTTAAATTTAAATTTAAAAAAATTAATAAATTATAGATTTAAATACTAAGACAAATAAAGAAAATTAAAAAAAGAATTATTAAAAAGCTTATTGAATTAATTGCAATAAAAGACAAAAAAATAAATTAATTTAGTTTTTTACGTTTGAAACATGAAATTTTAACATTATTTTTTAAAAAAATGACAGGTACTTTAAACAAATTTTAATAATACTATCATTTAAACTGCATTAATTATTTACTATTTTAAAAAATTAATTTATTCTGTTTTAAATATTAAAAATTCCTTCTAGCATAAAAGTAAGCACTTGTAGTCAATTTTTTAAAGTTTAAAACATTGATAATAATAAAATTACAATGTATTCAAATTAATGTCTTAAATTTTTGCTTTATAAAAAATTTCATTATTTAAAATAATTTAATTAAACAATAAATCTGAAATTTTGAACAAAAAATCACTTTCAGCTAATAAAAAAATATATCATCTGAAACGTAACGCAGTATTGCCATTTTGCCTGGTCGTGGCACTTGAATACGCACTTATTATGTACCGATAACAGGTATCAACGACCAGTTTGTCCGAGTTGGTTGAACAGTGCGTTGTAACCGGACAATTTTTTTTTATTTTTTTAATATTTTTAGTTTTAATTAAAATGGCCAATTTAAAGCAAACTCCATTAACATGCAGTGGTCATACACGTCCGGTAGTGCACTTAGGATTTAGTGAAGTTACAGAAAGTGGATATTTTCTTATTTCTGCTTGTAAAGGTAATTTTAAAACTCATATTTTCAATTTCATGTTTAGCTTAAGTAAATTTTTACTTTCTGTAATATAATAAAAGCACTTTGTTGTGCGTTACTTACAATATTCTTCGACCTTGCTTCTATGTTTCATGCCTTACCTTGGCCCGTTTCAATCAGATCAGGAAAAAATAAAATGTCTCCTTCTTTGTCCAGGAATACCCTTGATAAACTTCCTCATTTCTATCCTTAATATTTTTGACTTTCTGCTAAAAAATTTGTTTATGAAGTAGCAATAATTTTTAAAACAAATCTTTAATCAATTGCCATTATCTAACATTTCTTAGCCAAAAATTATTATTATATTGTAAATATAATTGAAATTAATATTTTACAGGGTATAAAATAAATTTGTTATTATTTTTATTAACTATATTTTAGCTGACTTCAAAAATTATTAATTGTCTTAAAAATTATTGTATTTAATAAGAAAACAAAATAAAAATTATATTAAGTAGCAATTTTTAATTTAATTTTGTTTACTGTTTTAGATGGACAACCTATGTTGCGACAAGGAGATACGGGGGATTGGATAGGAACTTTTATGGGACATAAAGGTGCAGTATGGAGTGTTACATTAAATGCAAATGCTACAAGAGCAGCTACAGGTTCAGCTGATTCTCATGCTAAGGTATAATAAGTTATTTCAAATTAATTTTATATATTAATTATTTCAAAAATTCAGGTGTCAATATATCTTAATACACACACAATGTTAATTAAGAAATAATAAACAATTAGGCAGTTTAAAGTCGAATAATTTGACTTAAAAAATTTTATTTTAATGCTATAAAAAGTATTAAAAACATTTTGTCGAAGTCTTTTGCTATTTAAATTCAAATTACTTTGTTGATCAGCAAGTTGCCCAAATGTAAGTTCAAGATCATAAGTGATTGGAGGTTACTAATGTAGGTCAAATCTGTTTTTTATTAAACAAAATGACAATTAAAATTAATTAAATTAATAAACAATTAAAGATGCACTTCATGAATACTTTTTACTCGATAAAAGGTAGCATTAAATGATAATTTAAAAAAAAATATAATTTCTGTCGAACAAAAAGAAAATTTAAAAAAATTATTTTATTATTTTTGTTTTATTTTGCAATAACAAAACCTAGACAAAAGTATAGTTGGCAGAAGACCTAATTTACCTTGAAAACATTAAAGACCCTGAAAACACATTTTAGTTTTTATTATACCACCAAGTTTAGGTTTTTTATTATTCAAAATCCTTATGTGATAAATTTTAATAAATTAAAATTTTTTTATTTTGAAATGAAATTGAATTGGCATGACTTTCATTAATTAATTATGTACTAAAAAAAAAAATTATTATTTTACAGCTTTGGGATGCCATCACTGGAGAAGAATTACATTCATTTCAGCATAATCGAATTGTCAAAGGTGTAGCATTTTCTCAAGATTCAAGTCTTCTTGTAACTGGTTCCACGGAAAAATTGATTCGTATATTTGACATAAATAAACCTGAGTCGAGTATGAAAATTTAGAAATTAAACTTGATGGGAATTATAAAAAATTATTATTTTATATAATTTATATATATTCTTTTTTTATTAGGTCCCTCGGTTTTAACAGGACACACGGGAGCAATCAAAGATGTAACATTTTTAGAAGATAATTTAATTGTTTCAATCGCCCAAGATCAAACAATGAAAATATGGGACAGACGTACAGGTACCAGCAGTCAACAACTCACTCTTGCAACGTCTCCCAACAGCATGGAAATTTCCAAAGATGGTACCATTATAACCATTTCTCATGGTTGCAGCGTTACTTTTTTGAAAAAAAGCTATGGGTAAAAATTTAAATGATAAATTTTGAACATATTTTCCCGCGTCGGTAAATTAAAACATACAAATTATTTTAGTTTAAGCCTGGTTCGTGAAGTTAAAATTCCTACTCAAGTTAATTCAGCATCCCTTCATCCTGATAAAAGCATTTTCGTATGCGGAGGAGAAGATCTCAAAATGTATAAATTTGATTACACGACTGGTTGTGAAATTGGTTCGTTTTATAAAAAATTTATAAATTGATAATGATTGATAACTAAAATTTAATTATTTAAAATTGAATGTAATTACCTAAATTTTTTTAGAATCATTTAAAGGACATTTTGGACCCGTACACTGCGTTAAATTTTCTCCAGATGGGGAATTATATGCTTCAGGCTCGGAAGATGGAACATTAAGACTTTGGCAGACGACCGTTGGAAAAACATACGGACTTTGGAAGTGCTTAGATTCCTCGGAGAATGTTTGTGGTCTTATTCCAAAAACAGAAGTGCCAACCAATTAAGTTTTTTTTTTTCTTGTATTAATCATTCACGATATCTAATGTAGCTTTTATTGAAAACGCGGAAAATGTAGAGTTTTCATTTATTTTATTTTTGTTCGCCGTTATTTTTAATTGGAATGCAAAAAATTTTTTTGCACACGGCGCAGTACAATAAATTAAAAAAATACCTTTTTTTTTTTTTTTTATAAGTCTTATTTAAGTATTTGAAAATAGTGATTATCTATATTTCATTTTGAATTCAGAAATTTTTTTTTTTTTTTAAGTTTTTCAAATATTCAGGTATTTAGTAAATATATTTTAAACAATGTTTAAAATTGCATTTCAAAACTTGTGTTTTTAATTAGAATCATTAGTAAAAATATATTTGATATCTTCAAAATTCCACTTATAATATTAAGTAAAAAAAAAAAAAAAAAAAAAAAAAAAAAGTTATAAAATTGGGTTGTGGATGGAATTATTATTTTATTTCTAAACTGTTTATTTACTGTTAAAATCGCCATTAATTGACATATTTATATTTCATTACTTAATTATTATTGTATTTTTTTAATTTTTTTTTTTTTTGTAATAAAATTTATATAAAATAAACGATTGTTAAAATAATTTTTATTTATTGAACATGAAATTTAATTTTAAATTCAGTAATTATAAATTTAAATCAGATTTTTAATAAATATTGAAAATTTTTCATTTAAAAAAAAAACTGGTTTTTTAAAATTGGTCTGTGTCAATCTTGGAAAAACCATTCAACGTTTTTTGTATAAAAAAATCCCGGCATAAGAATTCATTAAATCGTGTCTTTAGTTAATTATTTCCACGATTTAAAATTGGCAACATTGTTAGACTACCAATTTTTGCTTCAGATGGAAATAAATAACTCTTTGTTACTCGTCATACGTTGAAAATAACGGGATCGTGGTGTTTTTTAGTTTAATTCTTTCGAATAATGCATTATGCGCTATTTTTGAGAATATGACAGACGGTAGTAGTTTAGTGCGATGCTGTTAATAATTCAATGAAAGAAATATTGTGATGTGAAAACTTTTGAGATCGCTTCTAATTTTCGTTCAGTTTTTTTTTTTTTATATTTTAATCCGTGGTATCCGTATTTTATATTTTGGGCGAGGTTGCAATGCGGCTAAATTTTAGTTAGTATTTAAATAAAAATAGTGAAATATTATCTCAAAAGATATTTTTTAAGGTATTCATTATTTTTTCAATACTTAATATCAATTATGAGTTATTTTTCAATTACATTTTGGTCTTTATAAATGCATTTTTGACAAGCATCTTGTCTTTTTTTATATATCATTGAAAATTTAATTGAATTTTTTTTTTTTTTTTTTTTTTTTTACTGTCATTAATTGAGTCTTCTAAATAAAGTGATCATTAAAGAAATTTTACCTTTTTGTAAAAAATTTAATTTTTAAATAATTGAAATCATTAAATAAATAAAATTTTGAAAAAAAAAAAAAAAAATTTTTTTTTGAAATATTTATTTCTTAACAATGTAGCTTTATTTTTTTAAATGAAACATATGATCTTTTTTTGATGAATACTTTTTAATTTTGATAAAAATATATTTTATTGATTAACTAGAAAGAAAAATTATTTAACTAAACATATAATTAAATAATTTTTATTAATTGTTTTAATGATTTGAGTTATTGTTGCATCATAAGTTGACCTACTCTTTCTCTTCATTGATTAGGCTAATTTACAATCTCTTTATTGTATAGGCTATTACATTAAGGTAAAAGTACATTTATACTATAATTGAAACTTTTAATTATTATATTATTACAACAAAATTTTTTTTTCATTTGTTTAAATTAATAAATCCCTTTGTACAATAATAAAAATATTTGCAATGGGACAATGTTTTATTTTTTATTTTTTTTGTTACACAATACATAAAATTTTGTTGTAATTGAATGTAAAAGGTTAACAGGGTGGTGGCTTATTGAATCACACTAAAATATTTTTTATTCGCTAAATTGGTTTTTTTTTTTTTTTTTTTTTTTCAATTTAATTATTATATTTATTTGAAAAAATTATTATTATTATTATCCAACTTTTTTATAGATAATAAAATAAAAATAACAATTAATAACAAACAAATGGAGTAAGCACTATCAAAACTAACTAA